TTAAAGTGGTGCCGAAATGGCAAGGCTCGCGGACGATGCCGGTGAAACGCTTTGGAATAAACCAAATCCATGGTCCGACTGGAAATTATCATGTATAAAATAGACTCCGGACAAGATAACTTTTCCTAGGTCTTTCTACCAATATGACCAAGTTGGGAATGCAAGAACAAACGTCTAAAAATATAGTTAATTTTTAGAATCCCACATCTCCTGATACGATGCTTAGTTATTGGTGATCTTATGCTGATTTTATGTACCGTTGTCATACTTAGCATCTACACATGCATGACAAAAGTATAATTCGTTGCACTTAAGATCATTTGCAAAAAATAATAAATGAATTCACTTCCTAAAGAAGTGAGGACAAAAAGGTGAAATTGTTAATGGCAGCTTACCTCTTAACTTTGAAACCCATTATCAGGATATATGACGAGACAAATTTAACCTCCCTATCGAAGGTAGGAAGACCAAGATGGTGTCCTTTTGTGTGGTCGCAGTTTCATTTCGTTGTATAGAAGTTGTTTGACTTTGTTTTCGCAACTTGGTCATATTGGCAGGAAGACTTAGAGGAACACACCCAGTCCGGAGTCCATTGTATGTATGATCATTTCCAGTCGGACTGTGGATGTGGTACCTTACCAGACATTCCACCAGCATCGTAGTTGACATCATCAGTGAGTCTTGCCACTCTTAACAACATACTACAACTTGTCAAAGACAAATGAAGTCGATACTTTGACCAAATGTGTGTGATATCTCTTCTTCTGTCCTGGGCTATTCACCTCTCCTATATCCTCCTATCGCGCCTTCACACACAAGGCTCACTGACGATGCCGGCTAGACGTCTCGGAATGTACCAAGTCAACTGTCAGACTTTGGTAATTATCATGTATACAATGGACTCAGGACTATGTACGTTCCTCTATGTCTTCCTACTAATATGACCAAGTCGCGAAAACAAGGTCAAACAAATTCTTAAGCTCTCTATATTTATATGATGCAGCTAAAATCAAGTTTGAATCGTCAATGATTTTAAGAATCAGCAAAATGCGTCTGAAGTTCATGATAGTATACTTGACTTCAGAATGCATAGACAGCATGGCAACACCTTAATCATGGCAGATGACAAACTATTACTTATTATTTGAAAAAAAAGTTAAGTTAATATGTTATCCGTACATTACCACTATAGATTAGCTTGATAAAGTAGTTAAATCGGAGGCTTAGTAACCTGATTAGGCACCCACTTTTTTTTGAACGATTCATTTTTCTTCTTCCAGATGCGGAATGTTGCAATCCAATCGTATGGCCATGCTGGACGACATTATTATAGTCACTCCTCTTGACTCTGGAGGTGATACTGAGCACATTGGTCGAAAGATCCTCAGCTACAGATATGGACGTAGGAGTAAGGCGATTACCGGAAAGAGCAGCAGGAGCATCAGCATTAATTGAGAAAGCTGTGGAAACGGTAGTAGCAACACCAGAGGTGGTGTAAGTTGTATTTGGAGTGATGAAGGTGACCGTGTTTGCAGCAGGAGACAAAGGTGAAGTTGGCTGCTGCTGGGATAAAGAGGATAAAGGAGATGAGGTGGAAGAAGAGGAAGAAGCCTGGTACCCAGCTCGGTCGACTGATTGTTCGGAAGGCTTTAGTGAACCGCCTGTCCACTGGCTCTGAGAGTCAGATGGCCGCGACCGGTATAAGCTGCGTACGGATCCTGAAAGGAATTTTGCAGAAGACCCTTCTGCGCCGTATATCCGTGGCCTCCTGCCTAAACGGGCCGCCCGGCGTGACATACCGAGATCAAGACAGCGTCTGAGCCGGCAGTATTGGCAGCGGTTACGCGTAGCAACGGTAATAAGACAGCGTCGGTTGTTGGTGCACTGGCGAGCCTGGTTTCCAATGTCCTTAGAATTTCATAAAGCAAAAACAAGATAAAAACGTATAACTTACTTTCAGTAGAAGCATATTAGGCTTTGTACGTCTTGTTTGCTAAGAAAATGGAAATTATAATGGATAAACAAATTTGTATTCGAAACTATTCTAACAATTTAATGCACTAATTCAAAATTCGACAGATGAGCTATTTGTGAGGCAAAGCGGGGTCTTTGGTATTCAAGCAATTGAACAATTAACAAAAGTTGCGCCTGAAAATCTTTTAAATAAACTTTTACAGAGCTTAGTGAGAAGAAAAGAGACAAAAAAATAAATGGAGAATGAAACAGACCACGCTATTGTAGGTAGGATAATAAAAAAAAGACCAAATGTAGGCATACATATATGTTAAATAAAAGGTATGAAGACCAAGATGGTGTGGCCTTTTGTGTGGTTGCAGTCTAATTTCGTTCTATAGAAGTTGTTGGACCTTGTTTTCGCAACTTCGTCACATTAGTAGAAAGGCTTAGAGTAACGCACCTTGTCCGGATGCATTATATGCATGATCATTTCCAAAGTCAGACCGTTGACCTGGTCCTTTCCCAGACCTTTCGCCGGCATCGTCAGCGAGTACCGCCACTCTTAGCACCACACAACAACTCGTCAAAGAGACAAGTAAGCCTATCCTTTGAACAAAGGTGTGATAAACAGTTGTGGTATCCCCCCTTCTGCCCTAAGCTATTCACATTTCCTATATCCTCCTATCACGCCTTTACTGTAACAATTTTTATCGTCCATACGTTGATGTAGTGTGGTGTGCTCCTTCGAGCGGCATTCATGAGAACCCTTCACACTCCACGCTGTCGTTCTCACCCCCTTCACCCTTGTTCTGAGAATGTTGACCAGATTATGTCATATTGTTACGTAGTCCTTCCCTGGATCCTATCAGGATCGGCTTCACTT